AGAGAGAGAGACAGAGAGAGAGACAGAGAGAGACAGAGAGAGACAGAGAGAGACAGAGAGAGAGAGAGACAGAGACAGAGACAGAGACAGAGACAGAGACAGACAGAGACAGACAGAGAGAGAGAGACCAAGCTATGCTTTATCATTAATCTTGTTCAATATAGTACTTAAAACATTACCCAGAGCAATGAGATAAAGAAATAATAGGGTGACACATAGGAAAATAAGAACTCAAGGTATCATTATTTACAGATGATTCTCTACTTCTAGACCCCAAAAATTGCACCAAAAGACACCAGAATTAGTAACCAAATTCAGTATCATAGCAGGATACAAAATCAACATACAAAATCCATAATATTCATCTCCATCAATAATGAACTCACTGAGAAAGAAATTAGAAAATCTATACCCCTCACAGTAGCACCAAGAAAAATTAAATACTTAGGAATTTGCTTAACTAAGAAAGTGAAACACCTCCACAATTAAAACTACAGTACTGTAAAACAATTAAAGAGGACAACAGAAAGTGGAAGACCATCCCTGTTCCTGGATCATTGTCAAAATGAACATACTTCTAAAACTGATATATAGATTTAATGTTATCCCAATCAAAATACTAATAGCATACCTCACAGAACAAGAAAAAAAATCCTAAAATTTATATGGAAGCAGAAGGCTCTCTTTTCTCCAGTGTACCTTTTGGCCCTTTTGTTAAAGTTCAGATATCTGAACACTCCTGGACTTGTTTCTGGATGCATTACTCAGTTGCATTGATCCAAATGCCTATTTTTAATGCTAACACATGACTTTAAAAAAAAATCACAGTAGCTTTGTCGTATAATTTGAAGTTCACAAGTGTGGTGTCTCCTGCTTTGGTTTTGTTGGCCAAGATTACTTTTACTATTCTGAATCTCTTCAGCTAATTCTGTAATTATGTGGTACTGGAGATCGAACTCAGGTCTTCTGCTTACCAGGCAGGCACTTTAGACTGCTGAGCTATCTGCCCAGCCTAATTCTGTAATTAGAAACTGGCATTTTTGAGTCTTTTAAAATTTGTTTTTCTTCAAACAGCCAATATGGTTCAGTGAGAGGAAGGATTTGTAGTAGTAGTATTTGGACAGGATATCCTGGCTGCTTCTTGCGCTGTGGATGACCACTAAGAAGATAACAATGTGCAATGTATTAAGTATTGAAAATGTCCTATTAATCAGCTTGGAAAGTGTCTCATTGATATTTGTTTCTCAATAAAATAATAATAATAAAAACAGCCAATAGTGGTGGGTGCTACTTATTGCCCTGGGGGAAAGGGGTGCTCAAAAGGTCTGATGTAGGCAACTTTTCCTAAGTAAGCACAGCCTGCCTAAGGAGATAGCTCAGCAGCACAAGCACCTGCCTGGCAAGCGCAAGGTCCTGGGTTCAAGCAGAACAGTAGGCAGGGCCAATGCCAATGTAGCATGCTCTCTGTCTCTGTGAGACAAAGCAGCTGGGCCAGCTTCCGGCAGAGGCAGAAGTCTGGCATGTAGCAGTGGCTCCCCCATGCAGTCCTTTATTGTGTATTTAGTCCTGGGCATTGCGAGCATTGTCATATTCAGCTCAATAATTAAGGTGACAATGTGAACATTTTTTATTGACATCTTTATTCTACTTGGTCTCCTTTAGCACTTTGCCATTAACATTTTCATGATTGACCCAAATGGTCTGAGTAGGGGCTGTAATTTGTTTACACAGTTCATATCCAGAGGTGTCTGGTCCTTCAAGTTGCAGACAAATGGTGGGTGCCTCTGTGAGTAGGTGAAAATGTGATGAGGAGAATTAAGGACAGCCTACATCAAGACTATGAGCATAAACCCAGCATTTGAAATTATTTTAATCACTATAATTGACAATGATGTTACTAAGTAATGAGGTAATGGAGTCTCATCCTGGAATTGGTTTCTAGGTTCTTTCTGTCCTGAGCATGGAGTTGGTTAAGATAAGCACACACAGTGGAGAGCTTCCTGCTACCCTGTGCCTGCGGGACCAGTCCCAGCCCAGG